TAGTATATCAATAAATGATGATAATATATAATATATAATATCATAATAATATAATATATAAATAATGTAAACCTTACTATTGCTACTACTGTAGGTTCGCAACGGCGTCGTGACCATTTTCCAAGATTTCTATGATCACCCGCGAATGCCATTTAAGATGAAGTACGACGCGCGTAAAACTGTACAGTAAGAACCATCTCGAGACGATGAATTTTAGGAGTGGTAATTTTGTTATTTTTTTTCGAGGTGGAAGGTGCCTCCTGATACTGTGGACTACCCCATAGTACTTCCTATTTTCATTGAAGGTCTCAGAGAAGTTCTCCCGATGTGAGTTTTGAATAATCGTTCTTGCTCGTGAACGACGGTATTACCGTTAGTCGTGTTGTTGGAGTAGGAATATATGTAATCGCTTTCCTCAGCACCTGAGCTCAGGAGTTTCCTATACAGTGTTGGAGTAGGAATATATGTAATCGCTTTCCTCAGCACCTGAGCTCAGGAGTTTCCTATACAGTGTTGGAGTAGGAATATATGTAATCGCTTTCCTCAGCACCTGAGCTCAGGAGTTTCCTATACAGTGTTGGAGTAGGAATATATGTAATCGCTGTCCTCAGCAGCTGAGCTCAGGAGTTTATATACGAATTCGGGTAGAAGTGTACAGAAACCAACAAGAATTTGCCAAAAATCTCCTCATTGTCAGCAACACATATAGTTGACCATGTCGTTATAGGTATGAGACTCTGGCTTTCGCCGGAGCTCTTGAGCTTATCAGAAGGGGCGGCGACCGACGCGTAGTGCCGGTTCTTCCCAAGTTGGTGAGAACTGCTGTTGGAGGAGTAAATGCTTGCTTTCCTCAGCAGACGTAGAAATTTGCATACGAATTTGGGTAGCTAAGTTTGCTGAAAAAACAACAAAAATTTCTCAGAATTTTTTCATGTAGTTGATCATGCAGAATAGGAAAGGGAAAATCTTCATAGTGCGTTGGTGGTATCTTGATCAGCAGATACAACCGTTGAAACGCGCTTTGGAAAGTCGAGATCCCAACACTCTACGCAAGGTTGGTGTAATAACGTATCGTCGTGGTTGGTATAGGTTGCTATCAGGCTTTGCAAACTCTACAAGTGATGGCTAGAAGTGGGGCGATGCTGGGCGAGGCCTTGGTGCCGTATTATAGGCAAATATTGCCGGTCTTGAACATGTTTAGGAGTCAGAAGAGCATGAGTATGAGTAGTGTTGGAGTAGGATTATATGTAATCGCTTTCCTCAGCACCTGAGCTCAGGACTTTCCTACACAGTGTTGGAGTAGGAATATATGTAATCGCTTTCCTCAGCACCTGAGCTCAGGAGTTTCCTATACAGTGTTGGAGTAGGAATATATGTAGTCGCTTTCCTCAGCACCTGAGCTCAGGAGTTTCCAAAGCTGATTCTACACGAATTAGAGTAGAAGTGTGCAGAAACTGACCAGAATTTTCTAAAATTTCCTCCCAAAATTTTCATATTGTCACCAACACATGTGCGTATTTTCCCGTAAATTGTCAATGTTTTTTGTATATCAGGAGACGATATGGACTACAGACTAGGAAGAAATATCGGGGCTTTGATAGACGAGACTTTGGGAGTGCTGGAAAACATGGAGGAGAGGACGTGAGTCATCATAGAGAATTTGGGGGGGATTCCGATAAGAAATTAATGAAGAAATAAACCCGTGTAGTGTTATGTTTAAATGATGA